CTTCCGCGAGTGTTGATAGTTGATCCAAGAAGAATGAAGTCCTTGACAACTTCAATCTTTTCTCCATTGATAAGAATGTTGTTTATTGGTCCAGATATATAGATATATATATATGAACTTTACCTATATATATATCTATATAAAAATACACATACAGAAAAAGACAGACATATAGATGCACATAATTATTGCTCCCTTACTTGATACATATAATAGTACAAGCTTTTGTTATAGCTAATCATCTCTATCATCTCTGACATTCCATCAGGAACCTAAAGAGTAATGTGAAAGAACAACTAATAAGATACATAAAATAGTATGAATGACATCCTGTACACTGATATAAATTCACATATAAGAACAATGCAGAAATTAAAGCTAAAAGAGAAAGAAAAATATAAACAACTTTTTAAAATCATCCTCCAGGGTAAAAAAAAAAAGCATTAAATTCTAACAAGTTCATATTTTGCAAAAAAGGTTAATGAATGAAGAGTTTTGTTGACGTGTTAAGCAATCCTCTTTTGTCGCTTCAATAACTACAGAGTAATTCCTTAGACCCTATAAACTATTCTCAAAGATTACATCCCAGTAAGGTAAACTGGTGAGTAAACAACAGGTTATCATATGATCTAGCAGTCACTTTCAAACTTTGCCTAAGTATCCCTGGAGAGTGAAATACCCTTAAGGGTAGAGGAAAAGTAAATATGTATGTGTGTGTGTGTGTGTGTGTGTGTGTGAGAGAGTGAGAAAGATGTGTGCTTGCACATCAAATGAGTATATGTGCAATAAAATCTGAGGTGGGAAAAATGGGATATAATGCTAAGGGAAACATCTTCGTAAGAAATTATGCTTTCTTGTAATAATTTAAAGAAACATTGTATTCTTCATTATTATTGCTGTTGTTAGGTGCCGTAGAGTTGGTACCAATCCATAGCAACCTTATGCACAGTAGAACAAAACACTGCCTGATCCTGGGCCAACCTCACTACTGTTGCCACTCTTGAGTCCATTGATGCTGACACTTGGCCAATCCATCTCATTGGGGGGTCTTCCTCTTTTCCTCTGACCCTCTACCTTACCAAACATGATATATTTCTCCAGCGACTGCTCCCTCCTGACAATATGTCCGAAATATGAGAGACGAAGTTTGGCCATCCTGGCCTCCAAGGAGCATTCTGGCTGCACTTCTTTTGGTTCTTTTGGCAGCTCATGGCACTTTCAATACTCTCCTCCAAAACCATAACTCAAAAGCATCAATTCTTCTACGGTCTTCTTTATTCCCTATCTAGCTTTCACATGCATGAGGTTATTGAAAATACCATGGCTTGGCTCAGGCGTACCTTAGTCCTCAAGCTGAAATCTTTGCCCTTCAAGACTTTAAAAAGGTCTTGTGGAGCAGATTTGCCTAAAGCAATACATCCTTTGATTTCTTGACTGCTGCTTCCGTGAGTGTTGACAGTTGATCCAAGAAGAATGAAGTCCTTGACAACTTCAATCTTTTCTCCCTTGAAGAGAATGTTGTTTATTGGTCCAGTGGTAAGGATTTTTGTTTTCTTTACATTGAGATGTAATCCATACCAAACACTGTGCTCTTTGATCTTCATCAGTAAATGTTTTAAGTCCTCTTCACTTTCAGCAAGCAAGGTTGTATCAACTGCCTAGCACAGGTTGTTAATGAGTCTTCCTCCAATCCTGATGCCACATTTTCTTTCACAGAACCCAGGTTCTCAGATTATTTGCTCAACATACAGGTTGAATAAGTATGGTAAAAGAATACAACCTAGTCGCACACCTTTTTTAATTTTAAACCATTTAGTGGTCCCATGTTCTGTTCGAACAACTGCTTCTTGGTCCAGGTACAGATTCCTCATGAGCACAATTAAGTGTTCCGGAATACTCATACTAGGCAATGTTGTCCATAGCTTGTCATGATCCACACAATCGAAAGCATTTGCATAGTCAATAAAGCATAGGTAAACATCTTTCTGATATTCTCTGCTTTCAGCCAAAATCCATTGGACATCAGCAATGATATCCTTCATTCCATGGCCATTTCTGAATCTGACTTGTATTTCAGCAGACATAGTCAATTTGATTTCTCTGTATTCCATCTGGTGAGGTCCATGTGTATAGTCGTCTCTTATGCTGCAAATTGGTTTTACAGAATTCTATCATGCATTCTCCAGCATCTTTTCTATCACCAAGGCCATGTTTTCCAACTACTGATCCTTCTTATCTGCTCCCACCTTTGCATTCCAATCACTAATAATGATCAATACATCTTGATTGTATGTTTGATCAACTTCAGATTAAAGAAGTTGGTAGAATTCTTCTATTTCATCCTCACTGGTTTTAGTGGTTGATGTGTAAATTTGAATAATAGTGGTATTAACTGGGCTTTCCTGTAGGCACATGGATCTTATCCTATCACACACAGCGTTGTACCTCATGACTGATCTGGATATGTTCTTTTTGACAATGAATGCAACACCACTCCTCTTTAATTTTTCATTTCCGGCATAGTAAACTATGTGGTTGTCAGATTCAAAATGGCCAATACCAGTCCATTTCAGCTCACTAATGCCTAAGATATCGATATTTATGCGTCCCAGTTCATTTTTGACAACTTCCAATTTTCCCAGAGTCGTACTTTGTACATTCCATGTTCTGATTTTCAATGGATGTTTACAGCTGTTTGTCATCATTTTGAGTTGTGCCCCATCAGCAAATGAAGGTCCTGTGGGCTTTTCTCCCATAGGATGTACTCCATTAGCATCATCATGGTCAGCTCTACTTTGAGGAGGCAGCTCTTCCCAGTCGCATTTTGAGTGCCTTCCAACCTGAGGGGCTCATTTTTCGGCACTATATCTGACAGTGTTTCTCTGCTATTCGTACGGTTTTCAGTGACTAAATATTTGGAAGTAGTTCGTCATTCTTTCTTCCTAGTCTGTCTTTGTCTAGAAGCTCATCTGAAACCTGTCCACCATGGGTGACCCTGTTAGTATTTAAAACACCGGTGGCATAGCTTCCAACAGCACAGCAACTCACAAGCCACCACAGTATGACAAACTGACAGACGAGTGGTAGCCATTAAGTGCTGTCAATTTATAGTGAAGCCTGAATTTACTAATTTTAGAAAAATATAAGAAAGATTAATTTATTGGGGGGGGCACAGATTTTCTTCTGTAAATGTTCATTTTTCAGAAAGCTTTATAAATAATGCTTTCCTTTTGCCAACGGTGAAAATGAGGTTTCTCCACTGGTTTGATTCTATAGTAAGTAGATAAATGTATGTAGTTTAATTTGATTTCTCTAGATAAATCTTAATATAGGAATAAATACATAAAACATTTAATAGGTAAGTGAAAAGATAAGCACATATGGTAAAACTGAGGGAAACACTGGGACACAGCCCAAACTTACGGGAAAAGGGCATCAAGGACTCTCTGGCCAGTCAACAAAGGATGATTGGCTGGCAGCTTCTCTGTGACAGGTCGAACTTGTCGAACAGGCCAAACTTGGACCATGCTGAACTTCTCCTTGACACCTTCAAATTCAAGCTCTAAGACAACATCCTATAAAAATGCAGCAAGATGTTAAATACAGTCAAATTAGTTAACATTTCCTATGTGGCACTCGATCAGAAGGCTGGTCTGAACCAAAAGGCCGATGGTTCAAATTCACCACCTGCTTCTCAGAAATCCTATACAGGATGGTTATGTATCAGCACTGACTCCACAGCACTTAACAATATTCCTACATCAATGTAATCCCAGAGTGTTAAAGATTACTCTTAGGGGTTAGTATTTATGTGCAGAAGGAGAGTTTTACTTACTGTAAACCTTCACATACAGTCCTAATTTTTAAAATAGGAGCATTTGTTATTATTCACCAGGGATTCTACAGCTGTCATTGAGTGTATTCCAACCTCATATGTCGGAGTACAATGAACTTGGTTCCACTCTATAGAAGGAAATCTCCATGCTAGTGAGTCAACCTAGTTGACTGTCCAGAACTTCAATCATAACATAACTCTTATATTATCTTTATGCTGTAGAGCATAAACTTATCTTAGAAAAGAATTAAATAATTCCCTCTTAAGATATTTTATTGAAGGAAAGGTATATGCTACAATAACCTTTTCAATAAAGTATTTTTATATCAGTAATGACCATTATGGGCTGTAGTATTTTATGTAGTGTGTATGGTATGCATATTGTTGTTGTTAAGTGCTGTAGAGTTGGTTCCAACTCATAACGACCCTGTATAAGGTTTCCAAGGAGTGGCTGATGGGTTTAAGCTACCGACCTTGTAGTTAGCAGTCCAGTGCTTTTATAGCAGTAATGACTATTATGGGTTATGGCATTTGATATAATGTATATAAATAACATGAAAAGACTTAAGTTTTAAATGGTTCATCCAGTCTAAGAAATCATACAATCCATTAAAAATTTAAGTTTGTGAATACAGATAATTAAAATCAAACTATTTTCTGCCTAAAGAATCAAATCTTAAATATAGTCTAAGTTAAGAAGGAAGGAAAATGTTATACTAAATAGGTCTCTCTTTCACAAAAAAGAAGTAAGAATGCTGATGGTGCTGTAAGATTAGCACTGAATTGCTAACCACAAAGTTGGCAGTTCAAGCCCACCACTGCTCCAAGGAAGAAAGACGAAGCTTTTTGCTTCCATAAAGATTTACAGCTTTGCTTCCATAAAGATATACAGGGTTGCTATGAGTTGGAACCAACTCAATGACACCTTACAACAACATAAGAAGGGAGATGTGTTATTATTTTTATCCTCAGTCCCCAGTTAAAAACAAAAAACCTTGATTTAAAAAATAATTATGCAAGTTACTTAAAAACTGTACATTAAAAATAAATTATACTACCAAAAATGAGGGGGTGATAAAGGAACTAAGTGACTGACTTACAAAGTTTTAAGAGGGAGTTTAGTTTAAGAGTGTGTGGAGAAAGAAAGAGTCCCCACTGAATAGTTTTCATCTTGTCTAAATGGATCTGGTAAAAAGAGATGGGGATAAGATTCTTATGATTCAAAAGTGAGTAATAGTAATCATGACTAATTGCAACTGTCACAATTGTGAAGGTAAAAGTTTTGTATCAAAAATGGGGGAGTTAATCTTACAGTCCAGAAACAAAGAACCCTAGGACCAACAAGGGAGAAGAGCACATGCGGAATGTGAGTCCTTATCCAGAAAAGCAGTGACACCAGAGATGGAGGCAGAGATGGGGACATGGAATGAAGCAGCAGCCAAGGACTCTAGATTCATGGGAAGAGAGGGACCAAGAGCTGGTGGCCAGGAAGCAGACTTGCAGAATGTGCCCTTTGGTGGCGTAAATTATTATATATGCCTGAGTTGTTGTGTTTTTTTGTTTTTTTTAAAAGCGCTAAAATTAATAAGAGAGAAATACAGTTATCTGATGGTACATGGAAGTGATTATAATCATTGTAACATTTGTTGAATGTAAAACCGATGACCTCCCCTATAAATTTTCACTCAATTCACAATAAAAACTTAAAAATAAATAAATAAATAAAATTATGTAACTACTTAGGACACTAAAACTAGGCAAATATAAAATATAAATAGAGCAAGTTGGGTTCAATAAAGTTTCAATGATACTTACAGAGGTATCATAGTTTCCAGGTGGAGCAATGTACGTTACTGTTCCTCTGTTTCGTGGGGGTAACATGATTTTGTGTTTGATGAGTGAGTTCTCATTGACAAGTCCATAAATATCTCCACCAGTGATATGACTACCAACCTAGAGAACAATTACATGTGCTGTTTAATGTTCAAATAAATGTGACATAAACACAACTCTGTTGCTACGAGTTAAATTATTTGCTCATTTATTAACAAAGCATTTGTTCTATAACCCTACTAATTAGCTTAAAAGAAAAGTTTAAACTATGAAAGGAAGTCAAAAAGTATTGCTACAAAAATCATAGCAATCTTTATTAAAATATACATATGAAGCCATTGTTTCTCCACACATCCTCCATCTAGGTCTACATGCTTCTGAAAGCAGTGTTCTCATCTCTCTAATCCTCTCCCTGGTATGGCACTGCAAGATCAGAACTAGGCTAACCACAAGGTTGGTGGTTCAAACTCACTAGCTGCTCCTTGAAAACCCTAGACAGGGTTACTATGAGTCAGAACTGATTTGTGGCACTTAACAACAATTCTTCCCTACAGAATTCTGCATGCTTAGATTTACACAGAAAAGGCAGTTTTAGCATCCTCAAATCCTGTTCCTTTGAAATATTCTTTGTGTTTGGGGAACAAAAAGAAGTCTGAAGTGGAAAGACTGAGGCTGTAGAGTGAATAGGGTATATTTCCCAAGGAAATCCTCCTCATTGGACAGCTCTTTCTACCACCAAAAAATAACCAGGTGTATTGTCATGCTGGAAAAAAAACTCTTCCATGCAACTTTCCTGGCCTTTTTCTCACCAATGCAATTTTCGATTTTCTGGAAATTTCTTTATAATAAGCCCCATGATCTTCCTGTGCCTTTTGAGAAAAATCAATCAAGATTATCACTTTGGGATCCCACAAAGCAACTGCTATAATAATCTGAGATGACCTCTTTAGTTTTGAATTTAACTGGCTCAGCTAATCTCCTCAGGAGCCACTGTTTTGAATGGACCAATTTTTGAAGCACCCTAAAGAGACAGAAGCAAGCAAGTGTATGACTGAGATAACTTGTCTGTAGACATCCACTGATTGCAGACTTATTTAAACACATTTTCCTTGTAATAAGCCTGTACCTGTATAACCTAGATTCCCTGGTAGCAATACTTTTTGACTTACACTTGTATGTTTCTGCATAGTTCACGTCACATTTTTTTAGCAATGTTAGAAATTCTTGGTTGTACAGACATACCCGCAGGTTTTTGCAAGGTGTAAACTCCCATTTGATATCTCTGCTAAGAGCAGACACATTTACTCCTCTGGGGATGTAGATGCTTTGAGTCTGATTGCTAATATCTGACAAAGGTCTTTGAATACCATCAAAAATAGCTCCCATAATGCCAGGCCCAAGCTCTACGGAGAGGGGTTTTCCAGTGCGCAGTACAGGATCTCCAACAGATACACCAGCTAGAGAGAAAGGTTGAGGAAACCTCACAGCAGAATTTTAGAATAATTAAAATGGATATACCACCACTTAACCAAGAAGTGACACACATATGGGGTTAAAACAGAGGTTCCCAAACTTCTTCAATTTAGAGCCTATTTAATGCTTCAATAATTTTTTTACAATGCCCTAGGCTAAGAGATATATCTATCAGTTCCAGTTATTAAAATTATGTCCAGGTAATATACATATTTAGGTCAAATGGCTACAAAGCAATTTGAAAGAATGATACTTAAATTGAAAGAAAAAAATACTTTAATTTCTTTCTTAAGATAACAACATTTCTTATGAACGGGATGAATGTGCCAATTATTGGGCATTTTCAAGGAATCAGATGGGATACCTGTTCCTCACTGATTTTCCACATGGTAGTTGCTTTTTAGTTTGGAAATCACTAAAACTCAACTTCGCAAAGACACAGTGGCACCATGGACAATAATGCAGTGCAGTCTATGTTACGAACAAACAGTGAAATTGCTAATTACCTCAAATTACTAATTCACATGGTAGCTGACAAGATGTTGTAATATTCTTGTATCAACCTTAGAAATTAAAAATATCATGGGATATTTTCTACATGGGTTTCCTGTGGCTGTCCCCAGAGTACCCTGGCACACAGTTTGGGAATCACAAGGCTGAAATCAAATGGAAGCAAAAGCCTTTCTTTAAGATAATATATTAACTCAATTATCTTACTGTGGAATATCTGGTGCCTAAAAAAGGATATCAGTACCTACATGAAAGCTAAAAATCTTAATTAAGAAGTTGTTTTAGTGAAAAAACGGGAGAAAATCTGACAAATATTCTGTCTTCTTCTCAAATATTTGTTAATGGGAGGAAAAATCAGTACAACTACTATCGACAGCAAGTTAATAATATCTGTCAATATTAAAATACATAAACCATTGACACAAGAGTCAAACTTTTATGAATTTATATTACAGTTACTACAACATCGTTTATAGCAGCCAAAAACTAGGAACAAAACATTTCTTTCATTAATTAAATCCATATAAGGGAACTCTACCACCATTAACAGTTTGCTATTGATCTGTGTTCCACAATGCATTTATTCTTTTAAAAAAATCAAGGTGCAGAACAGTGGTTATAATATGTTCTTTGGAGGAAAAATAAAAACATACATTTATGTTTGCTCATATATGCAATAAAAAAAAAAATGAGAAGGTTAGACAAAGTACTAATAAAAGTGGCTGGATACGTCTGAGTATATGAGTGTGTGTTTGTTTGAAAATGGCCAAACACAAAGATGAGAGGTAGGTTGGACTACATACATTTTCATTTATTTACTTATTTTTAATTTTCAAAATATATAGATTATATAAAAAATAAGGATTAGTCATAATTTTACAGACTTTTAATTTTATTTAAAAACTTCAAATCATTTTGCTTTGAATTAATACCAGTCAACGTGTTTTAATATGGCACACACACAAAAAAAGACATAAATGAACAAATAAAGGTTTTCTAAAAAAAGTGATTCCTTTTCATAATGCATAAACCTTTCTCTTTTGTTTTTCACAGAAATTTAAAATGTAGATGATATTTAAAAGCCAAAAGTATGATAACCAAACACAGCAAAAATTCTCTAGTGTTAAAGCTATAATGTAATATATCATCTAGCACTATTCATCAGAACAGGAATAGAGAATGATGGCTGATTCATTTACAACTTACTACTTTACACAGGATTATGACTGGAGACATTTAACCAGACTAATCAATGCTGCTATTGTGTGTAAGCTTTCTTTTACAATATGCATCTCTCTGAAGAAAAATTCCAATATATTTTCCTGAAGCTTGGGGACTACTGAAACATTAAGAGAGCAATGTAAATTCAGAAGATAACACTAATTTTTAAAAATAGGAACACTAGCTTTTTATTTCTTCTGCATTGTATGAGCACAACTGTCTTACATCCTTGCTATATCTTCTCGAAAGACTTCAGGATCAAGAAATTCCTGGTCAAGAAACAAAAGCAGCAGCATCCATTCCCCAATGGGTTCAATGAAATTGAATTCAATGAAAACTGGTAATAAAATCAAGTACCACTCCAAGAGAAGACACTGGAGAAGAACCAAGCTGAGTCTCTAAGGAGTCGCACATGTGATGACACACCTAATGTACCCAGGGTCTAGCACTCTACCATGTCAAGTTAAATTTTGCCAAGATTTGATCAGTAACATGTATTGCAAGCAAAACTTCTCTGGTTTCTCCCTTTGTTTTTATGCAAGGTTGTTTAATAAATATGTGACACCTTTGGTTTTTTTTGGGAATCACATTAACACACTAATTTCCAGTACTTTCTCCCTTTCATCAATATTCATGCAAAAAAAAAAAAAATCACATTTCTTTACAACGGTGTCGGTATTACATGCCTGTATAAAAGCACTGACTCTGCTTCTACCTTTGAAACAAATCCTTCAATTTTGACATGTAGAAAGTGGTAGTGAAATGATTCAAAAAGGATACAAGTTTCTTCATATACTTGGATAGTAGCCATGTCACCCTCCAACCGAATAATCTCTCCAACCAACTCACTGTGACCCACTCTCACCAGTTCATACATGGCTGCACCTGCCATGTCACAGGCTGTAACCACTGAAAAAAAAACAAGAGTATTTTGATGACTTAGAACAATAATACTCTGTAAATACGTAGTAACAGATATTAAAAACACCTAATAAGTCCAATAACATGCTCTTATAAATTCACAAGAAAACAGAACACCCACAATGGCACATCCACAAGTTTCCCACAGACGCATTGTCAGAATAAACTACAAAGCTCAGGTGGTGCATTGTTTATGTATCCAGCTATCAACCAAAAGGTTAGTGGTTTGAATTCACCAGCAGCTCCTCCAAAGAAAAGAGCTGGCCAAGGCAAAAGAGAATTCAAACAGCAGAATGTAAAACTTTCTTATTTGCCAATAACTTCAAGCTAGAACGCTGTGATTTAAATGGGTAGGAGTACCTTGGAAAGTAATGTTAGAATAAGCAGTAGTTCTTATAAGGGAAAAATTCTTCTCCTCTTCTGTTTTATGAAAGGTTGTCACTGAAAGTAATTAGTGCTTTCTCACTGTTAACAACTAAAGAATTTCAAAGTTTATTGATAAAATAGAGAAACCTCTGGACTGAGTAAATTTTTCTCCTATAAATGCTACTTCTCACTCTGTAACTCTATTTCCCATCTGGAACACTGAACTTTAGAGGGCAAAAAATATAAGCCCTGAAGAAATTATTTAAACTGCTTTATTATAACATGAACATAGACCCATCTCTTCTCTGCATAACTGGGGAAATAATATTAATATGAGAGCCTTCAAAAAGCACGTGAAAAAATGAATTAAAAGATTCACACAACTGGACCAATAAGCAACATCCTGATAAACGGAGAAAATATTGACATTGTCAAGGATTGCATTTTACTTGGATCCACAGTTAATGACCATGAAAGAAACAGTTAAAAAATCAAACTATGTGTTGTATAGGGCAGATCTGCAACCAAAGTGCTCTTTGAAGTGTTAAAGAACAAAGGTGTCATTTTGAATATGCCATGGTATCTTCAATTGCCTCAGTTGTATGTGAAAGCTGGACAGAGAATAAGGAAGACTAGAGAAGAGTTAAGTACTAGTTATGCCTTTGAATTGTAGTGCCTGGGAAGATACTGAAAGTAAGATGTTCTGCTGGAACAAACAAATCTGTCTTGGAAGAAGTTCACCCAGAATGCTCTTTAGAAGTGAGGATGGTGAGATTTCATCTGATTTACTTTCGACATGTTATCAGAAGGGAACAGACCTTGGAAAAGGACACCATGCCTGGTAAAGGACAGTGTTAGTGAAAAAGAGGAAGCTGCCTAATGAGATGGAGTGCCACAGTGGTTGCAACAAAGAACTCCAATATAACAACTGTGATGATGATGCAGGACCAGGCAGTGTTCTGTTCTGTTAGATACAGGGTTCACAGAAGTCAGAACTGACTTCCCAGCCCCTAGTAACAGGCAATTCACCTTAGTCAAATTTCATGGTACCTTTTAGATACGCAAATATAAAATTTCATTATGCACTAGTTTGCTAAATCTAGTTTCTTACTGCTGTGCAGTCAATCTGACCCACAGAGACCCTATAGGACACAGAAGAACTGTCCCAGAGGGTTTCCAAGGTTGTAATCTTTACGGAAGCAAACAGCCACATCTTTCTTCTAGGGAGTGGCGGATTAGCAGCTGAGCACTCAACCACTGTGCCACCAGGGCTTCTTTGAGTAGGTAATATGTTGTTGCTAAGAGCTGGCGAGTCAGTTCTGACTCACAGCAATCCTACAGCACAAAGCAGAACTACTTCACAGGGCTTCAGACACTGCACTTTCACGGAAGCAGACAGCCTCATCTTTCTTCTGCAGGGTGGCTTCTTGTTGCTAATACAGTTCCGGCTCACAGCTGTGTGTAGGGTTTCCAAGGAGCAGTTGTGAGCCTGAACCCCCACCAACTAGACCTTGCAGTTAGTAGCTCATAGTGAAACTATTCAATTTGAACCTCACTTAACTCAATTGTTTCTCCAATTCATAGTGACCCTGTATAAGGTTTCCGAGGAGTGGTTAGTGGGTTTGAATTGCTGAAATGGCAGATCACACCATTCAGTATATGATACAAATAAACACTGTTTTTTAAGTCTATGAATTTGAAAATATATTTATGTATCAGTAATGTCAAAGAGGAGTCCTGGTGTGGCGCTGTGGGTTAATGCGCAGGACTGCAAAGTCAGTTTGATCAGCAAGGTTGGCGCTTCAAGTTCACCAGACTCTCCTTGGAAACCCTATACAGGGTCGCTATGAGTTGGAACCTACTCAATGGCACTGAGCAACAACAATGTAAAAAACTGGCCAGAAAATTTTTTATAGGAAACTAATCTTGAAAGGGATCACAATAGAAGGTCCCAGATAGAGAGTGGGAGAAAATGTGAAACAAAATTCAATATAACTAGTCAGAAAGAGATTGGAGAAATTCGAGACTCTAGCACTCAGTTATCCTTCAGGTCTGGAATTGAATTCATCCGCATGGCTCAATTTTCAGTCAAGTGGTAGATTAGTACCATAGGGGGCGGGGCAACACAACTAAGGCACACTCACCATGGAATGGCCAACCATTCAAGATTAAAAGAGCAGCATTTTACCTAAGGAAAAAGTTCAGAAAGATTGGGAAGCAGGGTAGAATGAAACCAAGAATCACAGGGAAGAAGTAATGTTGCATGAAGGGGACTGACCAGGAAAGACCAGGCCCTAGAGTAGGTAAAGTGGGCAGGGGGGCGGGGGCTCAGCAAAAAAGAGGAAAATTCCTAAACAAGATGAACTGATATAGTGGCAACAGCAATGGGCTCAAACCTAAAAAATTTTGACGCTGGCACAGTACTGGGCAGGGATAGCACCTAACCCCAACTATAAATTCAAACTTTAAAAGAAAATTCAATGCCTAATTGTATCAATGTTTCATTGGCACATGTACAGTCAAATGATTATAAATAAAATCTAGAAAGTTCAAGTTTTCTTTTCATGATGGCCTATAGTAGTATTCTTTTATATTTATTGGTCAAATATTTGTTTTTATTGTATCTATTCCAAAATTTGTAGTCATTTTTCCATGTCTGAGTTAATCACAATAGTAAAAATAAACACAAAACAGACAGCATTTTAGACTACAAGTGCCAAAAATTTTCTGCAAAAAATTTCTTTGATCAAGCCATTGAAGTCATCTTTTTTAGATTTTGCAGCATTTTGACCTATATGCTTCATAATGAAATATTTTCACAGAGCCTTTTCCAGCTGAGTCTGTCCTTTGAAAGTACATTTTGTATTTCTGGATGTACTTTGAATGAAGATGAGCAATCAGAGAGAAGAGGAGAAGAGCTTAAAGACTACAGGTTGACGAACTACAGTCCAGAGACCTGGAGCCACTCTCATGTTTTGAAAATAAAGTTTTACTAGAACACAGTCCTACTCACTTACACAATGCCTACGGCTGCAATAGATAAGATACTTCACACTAGAAGAAAAAAGTTGAGTAGTCACGACTGAGACCACATGGTGCACAAAGTCTAAAATATTTACCATCTGGCCTTTCATAGAAAAAGTTTTCCAATGCTTGCTAAAGACCAAAGAGACAAAATATGACCTCCAAGGAAAGACTAAAGGGACTGCAATTATTTAGGAAAGGAAAACAATAGGCGCTGCTACTGACATCTTCATTTCCATAAACACAAAAGACAATCTCTACTCTGCCTAAAGACTAAAGCATGAGGTTTATAAAAAGACAGTAGGAAAAAATTAATTTCGTGACACTAAGAAAAAATAATTTTCAGCACCACCAAGGTTCCTGATATATCAATGGTCGGGTTTTCCCTAGCAAAACTTTTTTTAAAGTTTTGCAGTAGGAGACTAGAATAGCAAAATGAGTACTAGAATTATTATTTTAAAAGCAGTATACCAAGTTTTGGCAGGATACACATAAAGTTGAAAACTAATTTAATTTGATGTAATAATGTCTTATGTAATATGAATTCTTTCCATAGGTTATGTGATACCTGAAATGGCCATTCAAAAGGATTTATAGATACAAAGAGTGAAGGTTATTGCTGAGAAATGCTCGGAGACAATCTTCAAAGTTCAAACCAAATTAAGAGATACTTACTGAATGTCTATCACCTGTGAGGTATTGTACACTAAAAGCTATAAAATTAATAAAATACACAGATAAAACTTTGAATACTAGTGTGTTGCAGGTTATTTCATACATTTAAGTAACAGTTTGAGATAAAAATAAACAAGATATCACAAAGTAGCATCTGAATAATCATCAAATTTAGATAACGCTGCTAGAAGAAACCATATGATGGCAGCATTACCTTAGTCTACATAAGTTACGGGATCTTTTTAAGAACTAACAAAATGTTATTGAACAGGAACTTCATAGTTATGACTAAAACACCAAGAAAAGACATCTTGATTACCAGGTGAAGCTAGGAATCCTTACTATTGAGTTTATTAAGTACTACTTACCAGGTCCTGAGACCCCATGCACATAACCAAATGTGCTTTCTTTATCTTCATCGAGTATTTTGGGTAGTTTGGAGAAATCCATCATGTTAATTTACCTATGGTTAAAAAAAAAAAATTATAGTTATAAATGCCAAAGCAACAGAATCAATATAGATAGTCAACTCTCATCTTTGGTTGCATTCTCAGTTTATTATCACTTGTTCCAAATAAAACAGAAAATTCTTTAAATTAGGTTAAAAATATCTCTTTCCTTGATGATGTATGGTTATTCAATTCAGAATTATATATTCATATTCACAGTATTCCATACAGAATACCAAGGAGATGAACAAACAAGGTAAAATCTTTACAATGACTAATCCAGTCCAACTGGCCTCTCTAGCTCTTTGAGGACATCTCCAATTACTATTTCCTTCAATCCTTCTGCTCAAACTTAGAAACTTTTTGTCATTTCTCAAAACACGAGCACATTCTGCCTTTGGACGTTTTTACATACTGTTCCCTCTACCTGGAATGTTGTTCTTCCATTCTCAAATGTCACTTTCTCCTTGAGGCTTTTTTGCCATCTAAAATGTCAACATATTCTCCTCTTTTCCTGTTTTGTGTTTCACCTTAACATTCTGTGTCATTGTTGTTAGTGCAGTCCAGTAGGTTCCGACTCACAGGAACCCTGTATAGAGTTTCCAAGGAGCAGTTGGTGGGTTTGAACTGCCAACCTTATGGTGAGCAGTCCAGTGGTTATCCTACAGTGTCACACCAGGACTCCAACACTCTTATCCACCTAAAAAATTATATATTTAACATTTTTTTGAACTTTAGTATCATCTCTGAAAAAAATTTAATTCTTAAAAGTTTGAGAGATAATGTAAATTCATCAAAAGTATTTCCAAAATGTCTGTAAGATATTAAATTAAAAAGTAGGCTTGAGGAAGAGTGCCAATAAATTTAGAAGTTACACAAAACTAGATTCTTATAGTTTTTTAAATATTTGCCATGTATAATAATAATTTAAAAGTTCTGAAAAGTTGTTTATTCAAGTAGGCTATTTACTTTGCTTTTAGTTAGCTGACTTTAAAACTGATGTCACAAAAATTTTCCCTTTTCTACCGGAACATTCTTTAACATCTCATGATGTTCCACAAGAAACTCTGGTAGGGTACTGATTATGAATCAGGCTGCTAACCTGAATGTCAGCACATAGAAACTACCAGCTGTTCCATGGGAGAAAGATGAAGCTTTCTGCTCCCGTACAGATTTACAGCCTCAGAAACCCTATGCAGGGTCACTATGAGCCGGAACCGACTCCACAGCACACAACCACTACCACCAAGATGTTCCACAGAGCACTTCAAGAAATTCTGATTTAGTTCAAACTTTTTAATGAAGTGTAATCTGAAGAAGGAAAGGAATGAACTAGCATAGTGATTACAAATCAAGCTGCTAATCTCCCAGTCAGCAGTTCGAAACTACAAGCTGTTACACTGGAGAAAGGTAAGGCTTTCTGCTCCTGTAAAGATTTACAGCCTCGGAAACCCTATGCAGGGTCGCTCTGAGTCAGAACCGACTCCATGGCACATAACAACAACAACAACATCCATATCCAAATTAAAGCAGGTGTCAAATGTCAAAGTAGACTACATTTTTTTTACTTCTGCTCTAACTTGTTGTTGTAATTGTTGACCCATAGCGACCATGGATAGCATTTTCAAGGAGTGGCTGAATCGCCCACCTTGTGATTCAAACTGTTACAGTCCAACACATTAATCCACACCACAACGATACATCTGCTCTAATTTAAAAATTACTAATAATTTCATTGTTGTTGTTAAGTGCCGGTAAATCAGTTCCGACCCGTAGCAACCCTATATATGGTTTCCAAGGCTGTAAATCTCTACTGGAGCAGAAAGCCTCATCTTTCTCCTGCATAACAGCTGGTAGCTTCAAACTGCTGACCTTAAGGTTCACAGCCCGATTCGTAACCACTATGCCACCGGAGATGAATTATACGTACATGTTGTTGTTGTTATGTGCCATGGAGTCAATTTCGACTCATAGCAACCCTGTACAGTGTTTCCGAGGCTGTAAATCTTTACGGGAGCAGAAAGCCTCCTCTTTCTCCCGCGGAACAGCTAGTAATTTCGAACTGCTGACCTTGCGGCCCGCAGTCCGATTCGTAACCACTACGCTACCAGAGCTCCTTATATGTACATATAAAAAGTAAAAAAATCTCCTACAACAGCAACTCGAAAGATTAGATAGGAACCTTAGGAGGAGAAAAAAACTCAAAAATGGCGAGCAAGAATGGTTGCAAAACTTGAATTAAGTAAGGAATGTCACTGAATTGTACATAGACAAACAGTTAAATTGGTGTTATGTTTTGCTGTGTATGTTCTAAACAAAGCAACTTAAAATCCAATGGCAGAAAAATTAAATAATGTCCTAAACAATAATATACTCATGGTCACAGACCACTAAGCAGTAAAGTACCAAAATAGCAAACTTATTTATTGGAATTTCAAAGATAATATTTAGGAAAGACATCTTGAAGGACAGGTAGAAATTGCATAAACTAAGAAACAAAGGGTATCAATGGTACTCCAGGTGAAGGTAAAAAAACAAAACAAAACAAGAACAAAAGAATGGAGACAAAACTTCAGGACCAGTGTGACTAGAATAAAACATTTTTATTAGGGCAGTAGTGAGAAGGTTGCAAAGGTAGATAGATTCATGGGTCTTGAGCATATTGTCAAGCTAAGGAAATAGACTTTATCCTATAAACAATAAAGAATAATGTAAGATTAAAGAAGAACTTTGACAAGAAAAATGGTAGTTTAGGATAATTACTCTCTTAGATTAAGGTCTAGGCAGAGGGAAGGAATATAGGCAAGAGGAGAAGATGAAAACCTGGGAAATTAAGATTTGAGTGTAAATAAAAGTCAATTCATTAGACATTCACTGAAGTCTAATGAAAAGACAAGGAGCTTCTGAATAGCACAATAAATTAAGCATCTGATGGCTAAACAAAAGACTGGTAGAGAAATTCATCAAAAAGTACCACAGAATAAAGGCCTGGATATCTACTTCTGCTGGTCAGCCACCACTGAAAGCCCTATGGAGCACAGTTCTACTCTGCCACACATGGGTTTTCCAGGAGTCAGAATTAATTTAACGTCAACTGCTTTTTCATTTTGTTTTTATTGTTTACCAAAGGAAAAGCACTGTATTGAGTTTAGGGAATACAGTTAAGAGTAAAATACATGACTATCCTCAAGGGGCTTTAGCTTAAACAACTATACTACAGAGCAGAATGACAAGTGCTAAACTGAGGTGCAAACAACACACAGGGAACAGAGGAGAAATCGATTATGATGGAAGAGAAATATTTATACTCCTGTGTAAAGGCATATCAGGAACAGGTGGCTTAAATTCTGGGTTCATTATAGCGTGTAGATAAGGTAACAGCTGAATTCAAATAAAAGAATACAGGAAGAAAACAAAATCAAACCGTGAGCCTTAAGAGATTAATGTAGGTAGTGTTAAGAAGTGTTTTTCAGTCTTTCTGGAGCTATTAAAAGAGCTCCACAGAATTATACTTCTTTATGGAACACAATTTGTAAAACACTGAAGCAGCAGTTGGGAAATCAAAGGGTGGATTATAGTAGGCAAATCTGCTGCAAAACACCTCTTTAAAGTGCCGTTCTTATGTGTTGTCCAGACGATTCAAATGGTAAAGTTTTCAAGGGGCAGCTGGTAAGTTTGAACCGCCAACCTTGCGTTATCCTGTAGCACCACACCAGAACAGAACAAGGGGATATTGAATGGGAACTGAATGTGTTGAAGAGGAAACACTGACACTTTGAGGACTAAGGTATGCCTGACCCAAGGAATGGTATTTTCACTATCTCCTCTTATGCTTGTGAAGGTTAGACAATGAGTAAGGAAGACTGTAGACCAATTATGAATTTCAATTATGTTGTTAGCAAAGATTACTGAAAGTACCCAGGACTGCCAGAAGAACAAACAAATCTGTCTTGGAAAAAGGAGAGCCAGAATGTTCCTTAGAAGCAAGGGTGGCAAGACTTCATCTCTGGTTCTCTGAACATGTTGTCAGGAGTGATCAGGCCTTAAAGAAGGACATAGAAGGACATCATGGTTGGTAAAGTGGAAGGTCAGTGAGAAAGAGGAAGACCCCCAAGGAGATGGAATGACACAGTGACAGCAGCAATGGGCTCACACATAACAACTGTGTGGATAATGCATGACAGGTAGTGTCTTGCTTTGTTGTGCACAGGATTGCTATGACCTTCCAAATTGGAAAAAGGGCAGTTAAAGTAGGAGGTTAAAAAAAAAAAAAAGCTAACAATAAATGGAAATAAATTGGGTTAGTATGATTTTTTGCTTCCTAAAGATGCAACTGATGGGACCATTAACTAAGTCCAAGTTTGGGACTGCCCAACCTGAAATATGAGAACACTAAGTTTTTCTATTAACTACTTAGTTAAGGGGAAAAAGAAACCAAGTTTAAAGATAAACATACTCATTCAGAAATGGGTTGGGTAAATAAAGCTAATTTCAATCTCCAGAAAACCAAAGATTTTCAGAAGAGAACTTGAGAATTGTACAGTCTAACTTCCTCCCTTGTATGGGTATTTCCTAAGTAACATTCATGAGACATGGTCATCTGCCTATTAAAGTGGCAGCAGCATGAGATCTTGAGTCAGACTTAGGACTGGTTCTGCCAAAGACATGCTGTAGGAAATCTTGGATAAATCAAAACCTTCATTTGAAAAATAGTAGCAATGCTACTACCTACTCCACTAAGTTGTTGTGATTAAACTATAAAGATATTAAAATGTTCCCCTTGAAATTGTGAAATATAAAATATGTAAAAAATGTTATTAGTAATACTATACTATACTCAGTTTTGCAAAAGCCATTCTATGTGAGAAACCCTCTGGCTTTTTTCTTCTAATCACTGTAGCCAAAGAAAGTAAGCAAGTTCCCTTTCTAAGCAAATTATCTTCAGTGCTTTCAATGACCTCTCCTCAAAGAATATGCCTTTTCAGACCCTTTACTCCTGCAGCTACCTGTCCCT